GAGCAATATAGGCTTCTGGTTGGCATGGGCATCATCTGCCTCATTATAATCCAATCCTCTATTATTGCAGATAATTGAGACTTGGTTCTCCATAGCAAAAGTGGAAATCTAACAGAGAAGGGAGACAACAGCATGTTGATCAGGATTTTCAAGACTAGGCATTAAACCTGAAGTTATCCTTCAGACAGGACTTTGGATCACTACTGATCAACTCACTATTATTCAAAGTTCCTACCCAACTTAATATGTGGTTTAAAGATTCTGATTCAAGGGGCAGTATATATAATTGGAAGTAGATTTAAGGAGAAAATATTGGAAAATATGACTGTCACATTTTGTGCTTTGTTGTGTTTGCTTGTTTTTAACCAATTAAGTCTGAGAGACAAAGCAAGCTTTCATTAGAAACTGAGGTCCAGATGGTAGAAAGGAAGACAGGTGTTAGTCTCACCTAGTGTACAGGGGGAACAATCTAAATAGGGTGAGAGAAACTAGGGAACATCAAGGGAGAAATTAACATGACCTTAGTTGGCGAAAATTGTATTTAAAGATAAGAATAATCCCATATTTTGGCAAAGTGAGACTTTGGACAAAAACAGACCTAAGTGAAGCTATAGATATTGTGAAACTAACCCCTAAAATGCATTATGTAATAAGCAGCAGAAAATCTTTTGAAAACTTGCCTTTTGAGGCTAATAGTAATTTTGCTGAGCAGCTGAAAACAAAGGCTAGTATTCCCTTAAAATTCACAACCCAAACTGACCATGCTAGTGGTGGCCTTTTTGAAAAAAAGCCATTGGATCAGCTTCCTGAAGCCTTCTGGAGTTGGGTCAGGGCTTCTTTGAAAAACATAATCACAGTTTTGGAGTTTGAAGGGACCTTAGGGATCATCCAGTTCAACCCTGCTGCCCCTCCCCCATTTTATAACTGAAGCAAGGTGGTTGAGGAAAAGAAGTTAATAGTCAGTAAGTAGTATGCTAGAAGGTCTGAAACACTGGGCCAAACTCTGGCAACACATAACTGTCCTGATCAAGGAAATTAAAGTTGAAGATAGCTTTCCACAGCACTAAAATCAGCTCTTACCAATGGTCCCTATAGTAGGAGTGTGGGGTTTGGAGTTAGGAAGACCCGTGTCATTTCAACTCTAGGTGCCTCAAGTAATGTCTCAGGACATATCAATTAAATCAAAGAAGAGATTTAGAAGTGTAAAGAGACCTTACACTACATCTATTCCAACCTCATTTTACAGATGAGGAAACTGAGGTGCAGAGATGTTAAAATAACTTGCCCAGGGTCATACAATTGACAATCCGAGAATTTGAGCCCAGTTCCTCTGAGTCAGTCAATAAACATTTATTAAGCATTATGTGCCAGGATTCTAAATCCAGCTAAGTCTCCACCGGAATAGGTTGTCTCAAGAGTCGCAATATAGCTATCCACATCCAAAGAAAACTCTGGAGTTTGAAGCATACTATTTGCTATTTTTTTTCTTCTGTTGAGTTTTTGTTTCTTCTGTTAGTTCCTCCTATTTGTTCTAATTCTTACTTACAACATCACTAATGTGAAAATATGTTTAACAGGAATGTAAATGTATAGCCTATATCAGATTGTATGCTATCTTGGGGAGGGTGCTGGGGAGGGAGGGGGAGAAAAATTTTAAACTCAAAAGCATATGGAAGTGATTGTTGATAAATAAAAATAAATTAATTAAAAAATAAAAAGAGTTGCAACATAGTGGAGAACACTCCCTATGTTGACTGAATCACAGAGCCTTTCTGTTTTAGGGTACCAATGGTTCTTAGGAGAAAAAAAAATAATGAAAAAAGAAATTCTGCTAAATTGAACTTGAAGAACCCATCACAAAATGTGATAATTCAGGGCCCCAAGGAATGTTAAATATGTGATAACAACATCTCATGTGGTATCTAGTGAAAATATGGTTAGAGGAGGCATCCTAGTTAAGTATTTAAACTAGATGCATATGTTAACATTTTCATGAGTGAGTTGAGGAGTGTATACCTGGAGGCAGAAGATGCTTTTTTGTGGTATCCCACATGATATAGTCATGGTATGATTTTACTATTGGGTTGTTCCCTATTCTCTCCCTCCCCCTTTCAGTCACACTGTATGGCATGTATTAAAATTTTGGTGTTTAAAGTACTGATCTAGCTCTGTAACAGACATACTTACTAAAATATATAGTAAATATTGATGTTCCTGTTGGTGGGGGATGATGTTGTATTAAGCCTGTTTGTTTGACAGCTTTTCTGTAAACCTATATGATAGTCTTAGAAGCACATAGGGGGCAGCTAGGTGGTGCAGTGGATAGAGCACTGCCCTGGAGTCAAGAGGACCTGAGTTCAAATCTGGCCTCAGACACATAACACTTACTAGCCGTGTGACCCTGGGCAAGTCATTTAACCTCATTGCCTAGCCAAAAAAAAAAAAAAAAATCACAGGACTTAAAGCTGGGATGGTTCTTGGAGGTCATCTAAGTTCATCCAGTTTTTCACATAAGAAAACTGAGACCCAGAGACAGTGATTTGCCCAGTTATGTGATAGTAGGTAGTAAGAATCAGGATTCAAACCTAAGCCCTCTAATTCCCTTCCAGCTCTAAATTGTGTGAAACACCGAACTAAATAGCAAATACTGCCTCTCATGTAACTTCAACCATCCAAAGGATTTCATTTAAAAATTATTTAATAGGGTCTACAAAAACACTTTGTATTAGAGTCAAGTCAGAACTTCAGAGTAACCAAGAATAGACCTCTTCCAAGGAGAAAAAAGTCCAAATTCAAATACTTAAAACAAAGCCTTGTTATAATCATAGAATCAGAGAATTCAGAGCTGAAGAGATTTTAGCAATCATTTTGCCTAACCCTGTCATTTCATAGATGAAATAAGTAGTAGAGCTCGGATTTGAATCCATGTGCTTTAACCCCAAACCCAGTTATTTTTCCCCAAACTTTCCTTAAACTTTTAGTGCTCAGGATCCAAAGTTTTATTTTTTTTAAAATAAAAATACCCTAAAATTCAGAGGAAAATAACCATTGTAGTTAATTATTGGACTTCTTTGTGCTAAAAGTAAACTCATAGTTTCATTTTTGGTATACTTCAATAAAACTTTAAAATGTTAAAAAACACAGTTCAGGGTGCAGTTTTTGGAGCCTCTTTCAGTACCACAAACTAGGAAACTTATCTAATCTTGATTTGTCTATTGATTTTTTGGGTAGCTTTCTATCACTCCTGTCGAACCTATTATTCTGCTGTCATAAGAATCTTAAATTCTCTAGATATGAGATGTTTAATCAAGGGTTGTCGAAATGCCTGAAAATAATACATGCCCTCAACAAGAACACTGCTATTACACTTACTGTAGAATGTGATCTAGCCATCTAAATGAGTAAATTTTTTAAAAATCCATTTCTTGATTCTTTTTCTAATCACAGAAATTATGATCAAGATCTGTCCAACGGAATGTAAGCTAGGCTTCCCAAGAAGGAACCTGAAGTAAAATAATCTTTGGAAAGCAGAGGACGTTAGGATAGTAGACTTAAGAGCTGGAAGGAGGGGGCCTTTAGAGATCATCTAGTCTAGTCCAACTATCTCATTTTACAGATGAGGAAACTGAGGTCCAGGAAGGGGAAGTAACTTTTCCAAGTTCCTACACTAGTAGCAAATAGAAAAGACAGGACTTAAAATACAGGCAATCTAATTCCAGATTCCATGCTTTTTCTACTACACTTCTTGATAGATTTTGTGGAAGGTCTGCTGGTTTGCTCTAAACTAAAACGGACATTACAATTTCTATTCCCCTCCCCAATCCCCTTCTTTGGGGGTGGGGGAGAAACTGGAAAACTAGGGCATAGGGATTATGTAATTTGTAAAGCCAACACACAGTGAGTCAGTGTGTCCAGACACCCCATCAGCACTATCCTGGAAGCATCTGGGCCCTGCTCACTTTATAAGCGGCAGGGAAGCTTCCTGCTTTGATTGTCTCCTCTATCAAACACGGACGCGGGGAAAGGCTCCAAAGTGTGCGGCAGAAAGTTGGCTGGCAGCAGCGGGGCTAGGGCAAGAGAGGGGGCAACCAATCTCGGACGGCTTCTGTATAGAGGAAGAGAAAAAGGGCGGTTAAAAGAGTAAGATGCAGCACCCCATGCGACAAATACGCCTTTTAAACAAAATAAAAAGATTGGGTTTTAAAGTTATTACTGGGGACAATTTCTACGGACCCCATTAGTTGGCAAAAACAATGCTCATCATTCCAAATGGAAAACTCCTCCAGCACGAGTGAATCGCCATCCCCATTAGTCCCGGACGCAGCCGGTTCAGAAGCAGATCGCCCTCCCCTCTTCCTTCCCCTTCCCGTTCCTCTTCCCCCTCGCCAGCTAACAGGTGGGACGAGCGACAAGCCACCAGACGTCTACCTCCTCCCGATGAATGCTGGGAGGGAGAGTCCTTTCCGGTTGCCCTCGGGCTTAGGCCACCGCCTGCCGCGAACTTCAACTCCCGTCAAACCCCGGGAAAACCGCATCAGGGTCGCGCGACATCTGCCGGGATTCGTAGTCCTTCGGCTTCCTGCTTTCCATAGACTGGAACGGATAAGGAAATCGGCTGCGAACTACCAGGGCGAAGGTACGGGTGGCAGCGAGGGGTCAATCTGCACCGGGCTTGGGGTTGGTGGCGAGGGAGTCGGAGGTGGTTGGGGTTGGGTGGGGTGGGGTTGGGTTGGGGTGGGGTGGGGGGGAGGGAGGGAGGGAGGAGATCTGCACTCACTCGCACACACGAGGAGGTGGGGGGGGGGGAATTTGAGCCGCCGCCGTCGCCTTTGCTGCCGCCAAGGTAGAGTCGGGTCCAAAGCTGTAGCGGCGCCGCCGGGGTTTGTGTCTCTCTTCCCCTCTTCCCTCTTCCCTCGTCCCCTTCCCCCCAGTCAGCGCGCCCCGCTCGCCCCCCGTCCCTTCCCCCCTCCCCCATTTCCCGCCCTCTCCTTTCCACACACACGGCCCCCCCGACCATGGATCCGGGCAGCGGCGGCGGCGGGAGCAGCAGCGGCAGCAGCAGCAGCGACTCGGCGCCCGACTGCTGGGACCAGGCGGATATGGAAGCTCCGGGCCCCGGCGGCGCCCCCCCGGCCGCCACGGCAGTCGCGGCCGAGGCCCAGAACCTCAGCGCGGCCTTCAGCCGGCAGCTCAACGTCAACGCCAAGCCCTTCGTGCCCAACGTCCACGCCGCTGAGTTCGTGCCGTCCTTCTTGCGGGGTCCGGTCCAGCAGCCGCCGCCACCGCCGCCGCCCCCAGCCGGCGCCACCGCCGCCCAGGGAGACGGCACCGGAGCAGGAGGCCCCGCCGGCCCCAAGGGTAAAAGGCCCGGGACTGGGGCGCAGGGCGGGGCAGCCCCCGAAGTGGGAAGGGAGAGGGGGGGCCTAGGCCCCGCGGAGGGTGGAAAGGAGACCCAGGGCTGGCGGGCCGGCAGCGAAAGGGGGCAGGCAGGAAGGTAGGCCCCGTGGGGAGAGAGGAAGAGAGAAGGGGGAGAGCCGGCAGGAGGAGAGAGCCGGAGCTGGGGAAAGAGCATGGCCCACCCGGGGGCGGGGGGAGCCCACATGGAGTGGGGCAAGCCCGCCTCCCCGAGCACGGGGTGGGGGTGTGTGTGGCGTGGGGGCTGTGAGGTGGGCTCCGGAGGTTCCCCCCACGTGGGGTGGTGACAGCGGGCACATGGGGCCCGGCCGGGGCAGCCAGGGTGGGGCAGTAGCAAGCATGGGGACAGCAAAGATGGCTAAGGAGGCCGGGAGGAGGCCGCACTTGGGATTGTGCGGTGTGGACGGGAGAGGAGGGAGCGAGCTGGATAGGTAGGCTTCAGCCAGGTGGAGCAGCGTCTGCCATCTCTGCGATAGCCAGGACAGGAAGAAAGCAAAATTAGTGTGTGTGCCTTTAAGAGAGATCCGGAGAGTTGAGGGAGGAAAAAATCCTATACTTTTCCCTCATGTTTAAGTAAGGTCTGGTAGAGAGCTTTCATTGTCGTAACTTTTATCACTAAAATTATAACTATATATTAACTTTATAGCATGCCATATGCCCCTGAAGAACCCAGAGTGCATTGCAGCCTTTTGATAGCTCAGAGATTTTAATACTTTTGGTATAAAAACTTTTTGTTTAACAAATTATTTTTATAAGGTGTCAGAATAACTTAGGGTGGGGGACCTTGCTTAGGGACTGCTTTGTTTTGATGTTTTAAATTGTACTTAATTGGTTTGTATGCTCTTTCTTACCAAGTTGTATGTTTTACACCTAGGCAAATCCCAAATTCCTAAATATTAAAAGTTTCCATTCATTGTCTTAAAACCCCTTCATGTTGCTCAGGATACCTGGTGTTTGCCGTTTTACACATTAGCACTTCAGTAATTTGCCCAATTTTTTCCCCTCTTCAGACACTTGGACATTTATTGCAACTTAATAACTGGCCTTTTTTTTTTTTTGGCTCATAGTTTATTAACCATGTGCTCTATGATTTAATATTAAATAAAGATTGGACTGTCTTGTTAAATTTCCTAGTACTTATAAATTTCTTAAATGGTAGTGCTGTATATCTTCTAGGTGTTGGCTCTGAAGAAATGTCAAATGAGTCAACATGAAATACTCTAACCATTTAATGGTGATGATTTTGAAAACTATCAATGTTGCAATTGGCTGCATGCTCCTGAATTTTATTGAATTTTCAATATTTATATTTTGGGTAATGGTGAGCTAGATCATAGATTTACCAATTATTTATGTAAGCTATGGACAGACTTTTGGATTTCTTTTAAGAGAATTTGTGTTATGGTATTTCACAGGTAAGTGTAAATTGTAAAGATGCTATAGGAGTTGAGTTTGGATTGTGTTGCTTTGGAAATGTGTTAAAGTTGGGACAGAAAATCATGAGGTTTACAAAAAATTTATTTGTAGAGATTTAAGCACACTTTCATTTAAAGGACTTTTACACCAGCATTTTGTAGTTTAAGGATTTTGTTTTTTAAAAATACCTGTCTGGTTTTACTTTAGCTCCAGGTTTCATAGGTGGTCTGTGTTTTTCTTTTCTTTTTTTCTTTTTTTTTTAAGAAAAAGCTAAGCTTGTATTCTCTTCCTTGAAACAGGACACTTTGTTAATCTAAAACAATTCATTTAGCAGCCTGTAAATAATACTAACTGCTGATGCTTATGTAGTGCTTTTGGAATTGATGTTTGTGGCCTTTTTTTTTTTTCCCCCCAAAGTTTGCAAAGTGCTTTACAAGTGAATGGCTTAACACCTTTATGAAGTAGATACTGCTGGTATTATTCTCTTTTTACAAATGAGGAAAACTGAGGTTTGGAGAGAAGTTAAGTGAGTTTCTCATGTTCCACACATCTAGTAAGTTTTGTATCAGGATTGGAACTCAGTTCAGTTTGGACTCAAGTCCAGCACTCTTCTCTGTCAACATTAAAAATGGCTGTTACCCATATCTATTTGTGTGAGCTTGTGAATTCTTTCTGCCACACCATTTACTTTACTAGCCCGTCCTGCCCTTCTCAGGAGCCACAAGCATCACTTCCAAAACTCAGGCCAGTTTTGGCCTGACTTGCCATCCTAATAGTTGAGTTGTTATAAAAGTAGTTAAGATTTACTGTATGCATTTCCCTCTAAGCAAATGAGAGATAATTTCTGTGTGTGTGTATCTCTCTCTTCCTCCCTCTCTCCCTCTTCCTGCAACTTAACTTTTAATCCTTTTCTGTTTTAGTAGAGGTTAGGAATTTTAAAATATAGGGATTTCTTCATGATTAAGAAAATCCCTGAGTCCAGAAGGTACTACTTTACTTAAAAAAAAAAAAAAAAAAGAGCCATATTTTCTACCAGAAACCTATTTGCTGTTCTGGACCTTGCCAATTATATCTTTGAAATGTTGCAATTATATTTTAATGTTAATGCTGTTATGAGAGTATGTCTTTTAAGAAAAGAGTAGATGCTTGTAGATTAGTATTTCCTAAACTGAGGTCCAGTGTCTTTTTTGATAGAATTGTAAAGTTGAATGTTTTTGTTCAGGGCCAGAAAATCACACCATCATGGAAGGATCAAGTAGTAGAGTCAAGCAATTTTGAATACAGCCTAGAGTGAATCTTTCAGGGGGAACCCCCCTGATGTATTGTAGTCACTTGGCAGTGAGGAAAGGACACATCAGGAATCTAGCATATTTTTTGTGTTTAAAAAGCTGTGGAAGGACTTAAGGTGAAATTTAAGTGTATGTTGTCTACGCTACTTAAGTGCCAGAAAATTTGAAAACGTTTGTAAATTGGCACCATAGTTGACTTCTTTAAAAGGTGTTTGTCTTTTCCTTGGTCTTGTCTTGGATGAATAGCTGTGATTTTTCCCTATAACCAGTATAGCTGGTTTGACTTTTCCCCCGCCCCCCCTTTCAGGAATACCTTTAGTATTACCCCTCTATAGCCAGTAGAGGGGGTTTCTTTTGAGCAAAGTGTAATTTACCTTCATAGGAAATTAAATTCTACTTTGTTGTCATCATTGTTTCATCAGAAATTGAATTTAGGATTCAGGGTTGACACTTGGGAGCTGTATGAAACCTCTTAAAATCTGTAAGTATATGATTCAGGGGAGGTGGTTGAGTGATGCTAATTTAAGTGTAGGTATAGCCCTTCAAGTATCTAAACAAAAGTCCTAGAATTAGAATATAAAAGTGAGCCCAAATGTCAGGGTTTATGTGCATTAGGATAGGAAATTTTGTATGATAGTTAATCACTGTGTAGTATGATATCATGCCTAGCTTCTTTTATAACTTCAAATAGCTCTATTTTTTTTTAAACTTCCCTATGGTCTTTCTTCCTTCCTGTGCTTTTCTTCTCTACGTTTTAACCCTTCCCCCCCAGTAGCCCATATGGTGCTTCTGATCCTTAGAAATTTGGGGCTTAATCTCTTCAGCTCTTTTGGATGTCATTCTTACAAGTGGCATTAATCTCTCTGGGCTTTAGTTGTTTTGTGTGTGAGTTGAGGGGGATATGCTAAGTGTCCTTTAATATCTCTACCCAATCTAGGATTCTCTAAAGTTAATCTGGCTGCTTCTATACAGTGGGCTAGACTACCGGAATATTGAAAACTTTATACCTGGTGATAATTTTCTTAATCTTAAAGGTTTTGGTCTTTGTTTTATTTTTAACATAATTGCTAAAAAAAAAACAACACCCAAAATATATTCACAATTTCATTAAAATAATAATCATGTCATTTTCCTTGTCTCTTTTTTTAAACTCTAAAACTGTTTTCGCAGTGTTATTGAAGTTACATCTGGGTCATCATAGGTCCAAGAAGATCAGCTTGATAGACTTGCATTTGTAGGTTTGAAGGAATTAGACTTGGGATTTGTGGGTGGGGTTTCAGGTTTTGTCTCAGAAGTCCTGAGTTGAAGACCCCTGGTAATTTTCCAATTAGTTTTATCATAACTGAATCTCAGTGTATCTAGTGAAATCACTCTCTCTAGAATTTTAGAATTGGAGGGTCTATAGAGATCATCTATGCTTTCATTTTGCAGATGGGAAATTGAGGCTCAAACAGATGTGAGTAGAAACTACTGTTTTTTCCCTTGTGCTGTTGCCTTTGAATTCTTCTGTAAAAGTTTATTATATGGCAGCCAGTGGAATATGAATTGATTGTCCTTATGAAGAATAACTTAAGATGCATTACTTCACATGTGCAATTATTTGTACACAGGAAAACCTCATAAATGATGGAACTCTAGAGCTAGAAACAACCTGAGATAATTCAGCCTAATCTCTCCTTAAAGGACACCAAGATATCTCTGCCCAAATCACACAGCTGATTAGTGGAAACAGTACTAGGCTGTGTACATCATGGTCGCCCATCCTTTCTCCATCCTGATTGCCCTTTCCTAAACACATTTCAGTTAGCCTATGTACTTCTTACATGTACTATTTAAAACAAAACAAAACAAAAAACAAAATTGATGCCGAGGCCTGAACAGTTTCCTGAATTATTAAACTAGGCTTTTTTTTTCTCTACTATGTAGGACGCCTGTAATAATATTAGCAGAATAATGGTCACTACTGAAAATACATCCCTCCCTCTCCCCCATGTATATCTAGTTCTTAATAGCGTTTTACTTTTATTGAGTACTGTGACTTTATGGATTCAAGTAATACTGATACCACATGAGAAAGACTGGGACCTAGTAGATAGGAATCCAGAAGATCTGGGTTCAATTTCATGTCAGATTATACTGATTCTGCCACTGTGGATGAATAATTCTTGACTATAAATTGCTGACTAGTTGCAAATCTGCATTGGTAGCTAGTTTCATTGTTAAGATTTCCCGACACCA